TCCTCAGCTGTCCAATGCCCTGGTGCTCAATGGAATTGCTCCCAAATAGAAATGATAATACACTGTATGCAACAGAAATGCACTACAGAAATCACAGAAAACCTCTGTTAGGCAATTAATTGTTGTTAACAGAGCTGTCTGCCTTTTTTTGAATGACTGACTACTATTACTGAATCCTTAATATAGGTGCCTTTATTAGCCTGAAGAACTTACAAGACCTTTCAAATATGTAGCACAGCTCTGTGCTTAATTATTAAGCAAGTGCTTGTACTTACAGTGGGTTTTAATCCTAGTTAAGTATACACAGGATTGCAGCCTTCATGAAGGCTGCAATCCTGTAACAAAAAGCTACAGTGAATTATTAGCAAACATTTTTATTTCCAATTGAAGTAATGTGCAAGAACCCAAATATTATCAAAACACGAAGTGCATCCTTAACTATAAAGCCACAACACATAAGAATAGCCCATTCTGACTAAGTAAAACACTGAGCAATTCAGCTGCTGAATAAGGTGTATAACTGACATGGTTCTTAGGTTTGAGTCTCTGATTTTTTGGCCTCTGAGGATCAAGAACAGTGAACAAGCAAAGAGATATGGCAGCAAAAGGAGTCCTCAAGTTCATTCTTTTGTCTATGACTCAGAGCAGAGGTATATACTGCAGACTCATGCAGGGGACAAAGCTAAGCTACCCTCCCTAGTGAAACCAAAGGCTGGGGTGCAGTTTTAAAAGAAGGATGCTTAACCTTTAGCATACCTGTCACTCCCACAGCCTACAAGCCACTTTTGCCTCCAATGGGGTTTCAAATATATGATGCCTGAAAGTGCAGGGGGCTTTGGGACGCAGCAATTTGGAAGGAGGAAGCAACAGGCAGGGAAACACAGGACATTATTCTCACCTGGCTCCAAAGCAGGTTTTTCCTTGAAAAAAAGCAGACACTGGGCTTTTATACATATATTGTTCTGCCAAATGTATATAAGCCCTAAACTAATTATAAGCTTCTCCTTCAAAAACAGGATTCAGGCTAGACTGGGACAGTCACAAAAAGTGAGATACTCGATTTGAAACTGAACTGTGATTGGCTAACAGTCATTAGCCTGGTCATCTGGGGCAATAAGAATCATTTCTAGCCAATCAGGTAATGAAGACCATGTACAGTGAGAGCACATGTAATTATTATTATTATTAATTATATTTCTATACCACCCATAGCCAAAGCTCTCTGGGTGGTTCACAACATTGAGGTCCCCCATCCAGATTCCAATCAGGCCTGACCCTGCTTAGCTTCCAGGATGAGGCATGATCAGGCCCTTCAGGCTACATGGAAGCTGGTTTCCCCATCCCATTATTAGGCCATAAATACACCACAAAATATCTAACAATGTATACACGAATATATAGCCTAAGAGATTTTTGCAGACTAATTCAAAAATGTTCAACAGTGCCTTTACAACCTCTGTACGAATACATTTATACACTGTTCATCTGAAAAAGAAATGAGATCATTTGCAATTTAAATGATATGATATGAAAGGAAAGTGGAAGGGCGAAAGCATCGGCAATTTAGTGTGCCTGCTATTTTACACTATCGCATACTAATGATCAGGAATAGCAGTCACTGCAGAAGGCAGCTCTGTGAGAAAAGCAATCAAATGGCAAAGGGTTCCAGCCAGGTCTTTCCACCTCACTGCTCCCTTGGTAACAACGAGGCAAAGGTGGGCAGGAGCGAGAGAAACTGAGGATTCTGTCTTGCTCCCACCGACCACATCCCTGGCCTCACTGGGAAGGGCAAGCTAGCTTCCCTCCTCTGGGGAGTCCCAGAGGGAACATTTTGGCAAGGCCCACTTACAGTTTGAAGAAAGTTGTGCCCAGCTGCAAGAGCAGCACATGGGGCAGCCTGTGCTCATGCACAATCAGGACCCCCTCCACAGTCCGCCTCATTCCAATCTTGTCAAATTCCTCCCTCATGCGCTGGAACCGGGCAGCCACCGAACTGTCCTTCTCATACAGGGGTTCCTTGGTCCCAAAGGTATAATTTGTGAGAGGATACCTAAAAGAAATGACACCGTAGGTACACCATTGCATGCAAACTGAGAGCCTATTGCAGGTCTGATCACAGCTCTCGAGAACAGGATGCCAAACTACCTGCAAGCAGGGCTACATATTTTACCCTCGGTCTGCCTTGAAGCTGCTCCTTCTGCATAAAGTGACAGAGGTTAGACATGATTCAGGAAAAAAAATCAGTGAGGGAGGTGTTCTAAACCAGGGTTTCATAACTGCATTTACCTCCCTCACCTTGACAAGGGATGAGTCAGGCTCTGGCAAGCTGCAGAAAGGAAGGGATGGTTGCAGACCAAAACATGCACAAAAGGCTAGAAGCCTGCAATTCATTCTAGTTCTTCACTCACTGGGTGCAAAGACAAACCTCTGTATGTTGCTCTCAACCCCAAGCTACAGGAAGACCGAGCAAGCTGGAGTTCCAACTATCTGGCCTGCTCAGAGGCACACCACCACCGGCCTTTACCAGCCACGAGCAGCAGAAGGATAACCGAAGTGCCCAGAGGTGTCTTTGTGTGTGTCAGTGGTTTCAGATGCAAGTGTCAAGCAGCTGTTACAGGAGAGAACATCAGCCCACTTCTTCCACTCCTCAGCAGCTCAGAGCTAGATGGGCATAGCCGGGAACATCAACGTTTCCCTGGCCTCTTGCTGAACTACGCCGATGCAGCAGCACATCAGGGTCAATGAGGACATGTCCCTAATCACATGGGGCCGGAGCATGTCCATGTTGACCAAACGTTTTGGGATGACTGCTAAAGCCTCAGCCAAAGTTCCAGGCCAGCGTATTCATTGCAAAGAACAGATTCACAGAAATAGAATTACTAGGTGGTGAATGAAATGGATACTCAAGTGATCAATAGAGTCTAGTGCCAGCTATCGGAAGTGGCGCACTCTTCAAACCATTATCATTGCTGCATCACTGATGACAGACAGCCCTGTAAACTTGGGCCTTTTCTCTGAGCTAAAGGGAGTAAGTTAAAGTTAGCAATCCACTCCACATAGGCTCAGCTGCAGAATATACTAAACTGAAGAATGAAGGCTGGGAGGCAGTGAATAGCAGTTTCACTAGAAGAGAACAGAGGAAAGGAAAGCAAGAGAAAAACAGGCTATTACAAATTGAGGTGATGGGGCAAAAGTGCTAATAAGGAAGGAAGCAGTAAGCTTCAGGGATGGATGTGCCTGCCTCTTCATGGAGACAGTGGCAACATGTGGGCCTATCAGCACTTGATCACTAAACCACTAGAGTTAAAACGAACTTGCAACCTCTTAAAGAACAGGCATTTAGAGCAGAACAGGTCTATACTATAATAAATGCAAAAATTCTGACCAGCTACCACAGCCTAAGCTGGCTACCCCTCTGAAACACACCATCAATATTACTTTAAATGCATAGCTTCCCAGTAGTCAGTTCACGTGTTCATTCAGCTAAGCGTCACCTTCGGGTGTACCCTCACCGAGATACCCTGCAGGAAAGTATGTGGAACAAGTTCTCAAGAGCAACGACGGTATAAGAGGTGCGTGTACGTCTGAATCTTGCTCCTAGGGGTGCAGACAATGCATGGGCAAACGCACGGAGCAGTGCAAAGCGCCAGGCGCGAAGTTCGACTGAACTCCCTGCCTGGGCAGGTCAGCCAGGCCCTGGCGCGGTGCAGTCTTCCGCGCCCGCGGAAGACGTTCTTGTTCCAGGAAGCCCTTCCTTCTCGCTAACCCACCACAACCATCCAGTTTTGCAAGTGCCCCTTTTATGCTTCCCTCCCTTCACCCGCCCCCCTTTAATGCCCACCGCTCCGGAATCCGCCCAGCGTCAGGGCGGTAGGAAAACGCTACAGAAATTATGAATGCACGAGCAAGCCATGCATGTGTGAAAGGGCCCGGGCAAGGCGGGACACAGGAAGTTCTGGGCGGTCGGCGGGAAGAAACCCGCACGGTTCGGCGGGGGCGGGAGGAGCTGTTATTTTGCTGTGTTTCAATCGGCTTGCCGCCGCCGAGATAACTCCGGGTTGTAGAATAATGCATGAACGGAGCTTTAAAGCACTTCACCCGGAGTGGCGGGAGCGGGGGAGGGGAAGGCGACTCGGGGGAAGGGGAGGAACCGGCGCCCCACTCACAGGTTGATGGTCCGCTCGAGCGTGAGGGGCTTGCTTTGCTGGATGTACTTGTTACCGAACTGGTTGACCCCGCGGGGCCAGCCGGTCTGGGAGCGATTGGGCGGCACGACGGACATAATGGAGGCGGGAGCGGCTCACAAGGCCGTCAGCATTCCCCAGCCGCGCGGCTCCTCCACCTCACAGCCGCCCCAGCCCGCCCCGGAAGCAGCAGGCCGCACTTCCGGGTACCATCGAGGCGCGACGGCAAAGCGGGGCCCACCCCTCGCGTACGTCCCCGGCAGCCTGGACGATCTAGGCAACCGGATTGCCATAGAAAGGAGGACAACGGGGCGGGAGCCGCAGGATAGCTCGTCGCGCCGGTGCCAATGAGTACGCAGAGGCTGCGCTGCCGATGGGTCACACGGATTGGCTGGCCGAGACCGACTTCGAACTCTCACTGGTTCTCTTTAGACTTCCTTCCCTTCCTCTCACCAATCGGTTCTTAGAAGGGCGGGAAGTCGAGCTTACTTTTTTTTTTTTTTTGGACTTCAACTCCCAGAAGCTCTTGCCACATAGCCAATGGTTTGAAATGCTGGGAATTGCTGTCCAAAGAAAAAAGGGATAGTCGGCCCTCGGTGGCCATAGTGCATATAAGAAACACCACAAGCAGATGGAGTATACGTATCGACACACCTCGTGAGGCGGGCTGTCCCTCCCCATTTGGATTGTCCCAAGCAGACCCTTCCCTCTCCCTACGACTTCTAATGTCCTTGTCCCGGGCCGCTCTTCCGGCGCTCGCCGTGGCGATTGGATAAGGAGCTGCATGTTCCCACCCCTCTCGCGCGGGGCATGATGGGAGCCGTAGTTCGCTGCGGAGGGCGCACGTGAAGGGACGATGAGTGGAAGGCGCAGAGCTCCACTGGGGCCCGACGGAGATTCCTCGTCAGCCCGACTGGAAGGGGCGGCCAAGAAGCGGGTCAAGCGGGAGCTGCACGCCGAGTTCTTGTCGGCCCTGAGGGAGCAGGCCCTGAGGGAGAAAGTGGCCGCGGCATGGACCCGCAAGGAGGCGCTGGAGCACGGTAGGGAGGACGGAGGGCTCCGTTTGGGACGGGAGAGGGGTGACAGGAAGACAGCGTGCTCCTTGAGGGATTCAGCCCTGGAACCGGCTTTGAATAGCCGTCCGTAAGGTTCTAGTCCTCAATGACGTGGGAGACACGTGATCTAGTTCCATCTTGCTGGGTGATTATGGGAATTGTAGTCCAACAGACCTGGAGGGGCACCTGGTTGAGCCAATCAAACCCTCGTCAAGGAATATTTGATAGTGTCCTATGACTTGGTTGTAAAGGAGCATGCACAGAGTGCTCTTTCTCACTGAGCCAGACTTTGTGTATCTTGGGTTAAAGGATGCAGATTTTGGCTTCTTTTGGAATCCTATGCTGAGTGCAATGTGGCCCACAGCTTGGGGACTTCTTTGTTTTGCAACATTTCTTAAAACTTTTCTGCATCTTAACCTTGAACCTTATAATTGGTGGTGAATGTCCAGCGTTGTTGAGGCTAAGAATTTTGCATGAACAGTACATGTAACTAATCAGCAAAGCAAGAAAGCAGTATCAAAAGATTCTATTTTGGTAAGCTGTCATCTGCGGTATTTTTGCTAGAGGCCATTGTGCTGGATCCCGTTCCCTTCCACCACTGTGTCATCCCAAACTTCATTCAAAATGAGAACTTTTTAGAAGGGCTGAAGAAGGAACTTTTGACCCTGGATTTCCATGAAAAGTGCAACGATCTGTACAAATTCAAACAGGTACTTGTTTGAGTCAATGTTATCCTAGGACAGTAGCTGCAAATAAGTCCTGATAAGATTTCCAGCAAAACATGACCATAAACTTACTTCCACTCTCTGTGGATCGAATGACATGGTTCAAAATGCAGTGAAATACACACATGGTTGTATTCCTCAGTCAGTTTTGCAGAACTAAGTCCTCTAAGGAAAAGCAAACTTTGCTGCCCCTCAACAAACTGCTTGCAGATTTGTTTCAAATGAAGAGTCATATATAAATATTGCAAATACTTAAACAGAACTTTGAGTTGCAATCCACAGATGTGTTGTACTGAATAATACTGTACAGATGGGGTGGCCTTTTAGAGCAGGGTCTGCAGTTTAATAGTATGCACATTCCTTATGGCAGAATGCCCTGCCATCCCTTGGTTGAAAAGATCCTTGACCCCTGCCTGAATCCTTGGAGAACAGTTGGTCAAAAAAAAAAAAGAAAGAAAGAAAAAGACAGTACTGGTCTTGATGAAAAGGCATTGGGAAAAGGAGCTTCACAGGATTAAAGGCAAGCTGTGGACTCCACAAATTCCAGACTTTCACAGCAGTTTTAGGGTTGTTATCTTAACTCCAAGGATGATCTCTTATCTCCAAGGACTGGGTTTACAAGCACTCCAGTTCTCTCTCTTGGACCTCATCCTATGGAAGAGCTGACTTTTGACGCCCCTCTGCAGGAATGTTCTCCAAAATTACATCCCTGCTCAAGTCCTCTTCTTTTATGGAATCAATCCACAGCTGAAGAGAAATGCACAACTGTATCTTGTTTTCTTTGCATGTGCAAAAGTCAGACGACTTGAAGAAGAGAGGAGAGCCTCATGTTGCAGCATTAAGGTAAAATCATCACTTCGTGGCATGCCAACGGCTACTGTGGGTGAGATGGCCAAACCGAAGGGGCAGGGCTGTCCCTGCACGTCTGGCCTCCAGCCCTGAAAAGAGCCACGACGTCCACGTTACTCTGCATCATGTCTGGGAAGATGTGTTGTAGAGACTGGCCTGTTTTTGGGTAACGATTAGGTGGCGAAATGGCTACACCTTTAGGTAGTCCCTGAAGCAGCAGGCCCCTTCTCCAAAATGCTGGATAACTATGGAACAGACAGGCCCCTCTGCAATGCAGTCAGGTGTTTTCCTTTTTGGATCAGGCTTCATCCGTCAGGCAACAGAACTAGTTGACATTCTGCCTGCTGCCCCTCCATGTTCTCTCTCTCAATCTTGGTTCAGAAAAGTTCTCTTTGAAGACTTCCGGACTTGGCTTTCTGAGGTGGTCCAGGTGGAGCTAGAGTCGACCACTGATCTGTCCTGTGCTAAATATGAGTACACAGGTGAGCCAGCTCCCCGTGGAATGCGCGGTGGATTCAGCCTGGCCCAGCTCTCCCCCACAACATGCACAATAAAAACCACATGACATTGTTGCAGATAACCTGCTCTGCCATGACGATGAGCTGGAGGGGCGGCGAATTGCCTTCATCCTTTATCTTGTGCCTCCGTGGGACGAGAATGATGGAGGTACCCTAGACCTCTTCAGCACGAATGGTAAGTGGGACATTTTCAGCCAGTTCCTACACAGAAAACTACTTTCAACAAATTAAAACAGTAATTGCAGACACTCGTGTGGGTGGAAGCAACCCAAACTGTGCAGCAAAAATGCTGTGGACTTTTCTCTCCCACCACGTGCGCCCATCCAGTGTTTTCCCTGGGACCCCTTGGGTATCCCCAGAACCTTTCTCTTGCATATGGAAACCTCTTCTCCCAACATGTCTGCAATGCCCTCAGCAACAGTGCCAAGCCAAGCCCCGTTTCCCCTGTTGATAACCATTTTGGAAGCTTGCATGAATAGCTTTTTGCAGTCTGCTAGTACCAGCATTGGCCATCTGGTTGGCTGCCCTGCATGGAGGTGCTTATGAGCCACGGGGCGTGGCCTCAGGACAGGACTTAATTTAAAACGAACCGCTGCTTCTGAGCCTGACTGTGCCCGTCCTACTGTGGATTGGACACCACTTGTCCCCACAGGCTATCCATGCTATCTCTGTATTCAGAAGCCACGCAAAGGTAGGTGGCTGTATGCAAAGAACTGGCCTGGGGGAGCAGAGAATGAAATCCTGGCTCCACATGAATTATGAGTTATTTCTGCATCTACATGCGTTTTATGATACTTCTCTTGCCAACAGATAACTTCGAACCTTTACAAGTCATCAAGTCACTGGTGCCTTCGTGGAACTCGCTCGCTTTCTTTGAAGTATCGCCAGTCTCTTACCATCAGGCAAGGAGCCTCCTGTCATTCTGGGCTTCCTCCGCACATGCCCCCTTCCCATTCCTTGAGCGTGGCTGGCTCTGTGGCTGACCCAGGGCCATGCCTTCCCCTTGGCCGCTGCAGAAGTCACTTCTGAGTAAGGTTACGGGGGAATCCACTTTGGAGGTGAACACTCTTGGCTCCCGAGACACTGGCCCTCTTCCTTGCCGCTGAGGGTCCGGCTCCCTGGTGAGCGCCCCAAGCACTCGTGCAGACACCCACCAAGGAGCAAACACGAATGCTGAGCAAGCAGCGCATCTCTTCCATGTGTGCGACTTGCAGCCTTTTCTTGTGCTGCGGAAAGAGGTTCCAGGAGTGTTCAAAGACTTGCTTCTTTTCAGCTCGACTCTCCGAGCCGGACAGGAGAAGCCCAACAAATAAGAGGTGGCATTTCCAGGAAGCCTGCCACCACCCTTCGGCTAAGTGTTTCCTGGGGCTTTTTCCGCCTGCTGCCGCAACCCCAGCCCCAGCCCCACTAGCCCAGATGCTGCCTGCTCTGTTTCAACATGGAATTGGCCCAGAATGTAGGAAACGGGGTGGGCGTAGTTGCGCAGAGCCTCTTCCCCTGCAACCGCTCCTCTGCAGGTTTTCTGCCCCACCAAGCGTACTTCAGGTATAACCGCCCGGCTGAGAAAAGAGGCTGCAGGGAGGCGAGCAACAGAGAACCCTCGCCTTGCGTGTGAGGTGGGCCCCTTGATCTATGACGGGGGCTGTTCTGAGCTTACGCCTTTGCTCCTCCACTGCCACTTCTCCGGAGACCAGCATCAGACTGGATCAGTGCTAGCCAGCTCTGCAGGTGCTTCCATCTCGGGGAGCCCCAAAGTGGTAACATGGCCACTCCTGCGTTTGCTGCTTTGGTTTTAGGTTGCTCAGTTAAGCTGGCTTAGGGCTGCTTTGCTCTTGGCCTTTCATGGTTCTTCAGCTTGTAATTTTATTCCCAAATAGGGCGGTATCGGCCAGTCTTCAGGACGGGTGGGACAAAATGCCGTAGCCTTACAAGCTGTACCCTGTAGCCATGTGTGACTTTTAATCAGACCCTACATTGGAAAAATCAACACTGCAACATATTCTTTTGACTTTTACTCCGTTCCAGGTGTCTGAAGTCATTTCCAAAGACAAGTGCCGTTTGTCAGTGAGTGGCTGGTTTCACGGCCCCACCATTGGAAGACCAGCACGCCACGTGGAAGCCCCCCCGCTACGGGTCCCCCACATCCCTCATGATGTAAGCAGTTGCTGTCCCCTCCCCCCCCTTTGTGTTTGATGACCTTGTTCCACAAGGTTCTCTCCACTTAGTTGACGTGTGGAGGAGGAATCTGCAGTTCTGAGACCATCTTGCCTTTTCGCTTTGCCACCAGACTGCTTCAGGATAGGCTCATAGGAACAAGAATGCCAAGGAACTGCAGTTTTGCCTCTAAAATGGAGGGACAGGAAATGATGCACCTAGTTGGCAGACTACAGGCTAAAATGGCAACTGGCAGCTTTCTCAAATTTTAATCCAAGCACAGTACAAACTGGCCTGCAGTTTCATTCAAAAAATAAAAGAGCAATGCGTGTATCGCCAGATGTTGTTGAATTTCATCTCCTATCTCCCTTCACCATTGCCCATATCTAAGATGAATTCCAGCTGCAGTTCTAGAGCGACTTGCATTTCCCACCCCTTCCTTAAAGAGGTGCCGACTAGAGACGGGAAGGTTTTCTTTCGGAATGGCTTGTTTGGAGTGATAAGTGATGTTGCTGGCCTGCTTTCTTCTCTCCCTCCTTTTAATTGTTCCCTAGCATGAAATCTTGTATGAGTGGATCAATCCCATTTATCTGGACATGGATTCCCAGGCCCAGATCCAAGAGGAATTTGAGGAACGATCCGAGATCTTGCTGAAGGATTTTCTTAAGGTGGGTGCTCAGAGTTCAACTCCTCCCCTGGAATGTTACCCTCTACTTTCTGAGCAACAGTGAGATGTGGCACTAGTGGTGATCTTTATTCCCCCTTTCCTTGGACAAGTCTCTAAGATAGTTTGAAAAGTGTTTCTCGCTTGGGCTCTTACATCTCAACCTGACAAGACAGCAGCTTCTTAAAGACGATGCTGTCCATGTGCCAGACTGGTATCATTTGCAGGCACAGAAAGTCCAGTGGCCATTCACCTCCACGCCACTGAAAACAGAGCTGAGTATCTTCTAGAATGTCAAAAGACTTGACTGATGCTTCTTAAGGAATCCAGAATGCTCAGAGGTCTTTCTGTTATGTTCTTGTTTTTAACTTGATGTTTTTCATTCATTCTGGAAAGAAGATAGTGAAACATGGATGATGTATCTGTCACTGCTCAGCAACATATTTAAATGTGTCCTTTGCAAACAGATTCAAGAGACTGGTACTAATGCCCGCAAAACAGCCAGACAGTGCAATGCTATGCGTATTTACTCAAGAGAGAAATCTCACTATGTTCAGTGGGGTTTACTCCTCTGTGAATTGTCTCTTTACCTGAGCAACAAGAATGATGAGAAAGAGAGCACTAGATTTACTGTGGAGCTACTTAGCTTTAATTTGCATTTCAGCCTGTTTCTTTGTACCCCTGCACTATGTGCAAGTTTTGAGCAAGATTTGAAAATTGAATATATATAGATTTTTTTAAGGTAGTTATCATTGCCGTTAGTTTGTAAATGACATTTATCTTGGAACAAGGAAAGTATCTTTTTCAACCTCTTGCTTCTTGCACTGAGAACTTTGAGAAGGGAAACTGTTAATTAAGTTGAAGGTTGGAGAGGAGGAGGTGGCTTGCTGCATTCCTCCTCGGACAGTCTGCAGGGTAGGAAGGGAAGCCTCTGCTCTCCTCTGCCAGCTAGCCTCTGTGTCCTGTATTTTCCTGCTGGCTGTAGAGAAAATGACTAACATGGAAATGCATGATGTTCGCATTTTAGCAGGCTAGTACAAAAACAACTTCTTGCAGGCTGCTGGGTTTTGTGGCATTATTTACATGGCTGAGTTAATGCAGTAACTTTAAATGTATTCAGAAGCCATTAGGGTTAGGGTGCTGTAGATCTTTTTTTAAGATTTAGAAATGACTTTGGGTTCTGCTTCTTTCTCTTCTGAAATAAAAGCCACCCACAAGAGAACGTGCATGCTCAAGTTTTATGGGTGTTGTAAGCTTTCCTTTTTGCCTTACTGCACAGCATTTCCATATCTGGAATTGAAACATTTCCATTGGTTGATAGGCTTCAGCAGGACGGGTTTAGCAGGGACTTTTTCCCCACAATTCAGTACGGATCCATAGCAATTAAAGAATGACGCCACTGTGCTTTTAGCTGCAACAGAGTCACTGATGCGTTTTGAAGTCAGCTACCAAAATGCAATTTGAAAACCATGAAAGGCCTGGAAAAGTCATAACATTTTTCATTTTTACTTGGGGCTCGGTGCCCTCACCCAATATGTAGTCATTGAACACTGACCAACAAGGACTTACACCCTCCGGCTGTCTATTATCAGATCCAAATGATCCATCCAGGATCCATCCATTGATTTCCCTTTCTGTTTTTTTCGGGACAGCAGCAAAAACCAAAAGAATTAAAACAGCGTAGCCAGTGCTGCTTTGATGGAAACTGGAGGCTGCTGTGCATTCATTAGGAAACCCCCACCTGGTGGTGTCTTGATGTCTCAGAGGCCCATCCAATTGTGGCTTGAAATTGGGCGTTTAGTGTTTGACTGCCCATTCTCTGTCAGTCCCATTCTGGATTTTCACTATGGGCTAGAATCCTTCCTCCAGCCAGCTTCCCTGGAATCCCAGTCTGTTTTTCCCCGATGCTGTCATGCTGCTGTTTTGCCTAGGTTTTTTTATGGTGTTTGTCTGTCGCTTAGACATTTCTTTATAATAGAACGGGTGGATACATAGCAGTCAGTAAAGACTAGTTTAATGTGCTTGGTTCCTAGAGAGACAAGTTCCAGCTGGTCTGTGAGGCTCTGAAGAGTGAAGAAGTCCGATGCAGCAGCAGGGGGCCCCCTAACAAAAGGTTGGTCTGCCTGAGCACCTCCAGGGCCGCATCCTGACTAAAGATCTTTGCCATGCTTATTTGAGCTGTGAATGTAATTTGGGCATCTCACCTGTAATTTGGAAAACGTCAGTTAACCTGTTCAGTGGCCTGCATAGCTCGAGAGCATTGTGGGGCCGGGTGGAATGTCGGAGACGGGGAAGTACGATAGGCCTGTGATCTGAGTTCTCAGTGAGTGAACTTGTGTCTTCTTTGCTAACCTAACCTTAGCTCTATGTATTGTTTGGGTTGCTTTGGTGAAGAATTTTAAAGGGACCCAGCGATCACTGCGGTGACGGCTGTCGTTCTAGGCACTATGGAAAAGCCGAAGAAGCAAGGCTGCCAGCCATGCTGAAGGCCTGCATGGAGCTCTTCCACTCCGAGGCCATGTTCCTGCTGCTCTCCAACTTCACGGGCTTGAAGCTGCATTTCTTAGCTCCTGGGGACGGGGAGGAAGAGGAAGGAGAGAAGGCTGCTGGAGGGGAGTCTTCTAAATGCGCACAAGAAGAGAGCAGTCAGAAGGAAGCTGGTAGGGGAGACACGGACAAGTCTGGCAGAAATGAGGACCACTGTGGAGAAAGCGGTATGTAAAAAGCATCCAGAGCTAGGTGCAGGGACCCTTGCTCTGCACGGGCCACTTAGACGCTTTTCTTTTTGAAATGCTCCTAACCGCAGCTCTGCAATTCCTCTTCCATTTGAGCAGTTTGCTCAGGAGTGCATGGGCCACACAAGACTGGCATTTGCTGCTCTGAGGCAAACCAGGTCTGCTCTGAAGGTTGCTGGCCACACATTAGTTCTGCCCTCATACTGACAACACACCACATCTTTATGTGTATGCTCAGATTCCTTGGGAGCACTGAATGTTGTATTTGGGAACAAATTTCATTTTATAACCAACGTTTCTAGACCTTCTAGCTGTGAAGGTTTGCTTGAAAATGTCTGAGCAACACCTGCTGACATCTCCAAAGCCGGAAGGGTGGCAAACGTCCTGAGCTCCTTGCCCTTCTCCAAAGACTAGTGAATCCAGTTGTGCAAATTTTCTGAGGTTTAGTACTTTCAACCTGTTTTGGAATTCAGCTTTCCTCCTTGCTATGCTTTACTGCCTAGGCACTGCCCCATGTTGGTGGGGGCTTTTGTTCCTCACCACTTCCCTCTTGCAGGAGATGGGATTATGCAGCAGTCCGGGAACCTTTCACTCCGCTCCTCCTGCACAGACTGACATGGAGACAAAGGGCTCAGAGAGGAGAGGCTTTAGCAGCAGAACCACATGTCCATCATGCACTTCACCCTCCCGTGTCTCTGCTGCCATCCTTTCTGAATGGCTGAGGCATACCATAGAAGGAAGGGCACTCTGCCCCTCAAAGACTCTGTTGGTGTTCATTCTGGGGGAAAGGGCTAAAAAGCCAGTTGTGATGTTGCCAGCTCTGAAGAAAGTTCCAAGAGGCATAGTAACGGGGTGGGGCATCTTTTAGTTGGGATAGCTGAGAGGGCTGGATTCAGCCCTCAGCGGTCTGGTTGCCGGCCCTCCATCCTTAGCATGCACACCTGTTGTCTTCCCCCAGGCTCAAAGGTCCCGATGTGTGCTGGAGAGCTGAGACATTGGACAAGGGGTTCCTACACCCTCATTCACGATGCACAGTCAACAGAGTTTGCCCTCGACCTGCTGCTGTTCTGTGAGTGCGAAGGTTGGTTTCACTTTAAACGGCTGCAAATGCCTACATCCCCAGGCTTTTTGGAGCCCAAGAACTGGCCTGGGTCTTGTTAATGCTGCTGCAAATACCTTGCTTGTAGTTAACGGCAAAGCGACCTGTCTCACCTGAAGGGCAACACACAGAAGTGACTACAGCATGAGCACTGGTGGACTTGAGTTTGGGTCAGCAGAGACTTGTGCCATAATACATCGCTCAAGCTGAGGCGCTTTGAGCGGTTGCTGCAGTAGACCAACTCAGCTGTCAGAGTGGGGAGTGCTTTTCCTTGTGAGCGAAGGGTGCATTTTTTTTAAGGAAGCCACCCCAGCAAGTAGATTTGGTTAGCACACAGCCTTTTCTTGTGGGCTGCGTTAGTCCCAACAACTTGAGTTGCGCAGTGTTTGAGGCACTGCTGCCAAACTAGTGAGTGATGCTCGTTTCTCTTCTCTTTTGAGATTGGGATGCGGAATATGGCGGCTTCACTTCATACATTGCAAAAGGCGAAGATGAAGAGGTAAGCGGCACTCTGGTTTTGTTTTGGATTTTTTGGAGCTAGGGGAGCAACTTCATCAGACTGCAGCCCATTTTGAAGGCGCGTTACTGAATCCTCTGGCACAAGCATCTGACAAAATCTTCCCACCCCTGGTAGGAAAGGCTGAAACTTTTTCCTGAATTGTCCACTAATGACCTACTTTTCTTTGTGATAAAATATGATGTGCCACTTGGGGAAGAACGATGCCTTAATTTAATGCCATCATGCTTTGAGGGCAGGAAATGCAATGGCTAAGAAAGGTACGGAAGGCCCTTGATGCCTGCAGTCCTTACTTAAGGTTGGGAGCTACAGGGCAGAGTAATTCTCTTGTGAGGTCTGCAGTATGTAACAACTCCCTTGTGAGTTTCAAGGGACTTGGTGACTACCAACAGACATCAGTTTCTGGGGTCTGATTCCATTGAGGGAATTGAATCGCGCAGGGAATTATTTTTACATCTGTGTACTTACTTTGCATGGGAAGCTAGAGTATTTTCTGATGGAAAAATTTGGACTTTACCTTAGCCTAACATGCACAAGCCTGCTCAGAGACTTAATGTTAGGTGTTCTCTTTAATCTGAAATAGATGGGCTGCCTTCTTGTAAACACTGTCTAAAGAAGTAATGCTGCTAATGTGCTTCCTTAAGCTTTCTTGTTTTGTTCTCTCCAAGCTGCTGACAATTAATCCAGAGGCCAACTGTTTGGCCTTGGTTTACAGAGATCGAGAGACGCTGAAATTTGTGAAATACATTAACCACCGTAGTTTGAAGCAGACAGCAACACAGCCTGAACAAACTGGATTCTGGGACTTCTGCTTTGTTTACTATGAATGATGTGTGGCATGGACTTATAGACAACCCTGCTTTCTGCTAAAATGCTCAGTAAAGTGACTTCTGTTATAGGCAAAGATCTTACTATACCATCTCTTCTTCCTGGCCATCTTGACAAAAGTGAATTCTTTGCCTTGATCAAGTGTCCTGCTGTGTTGCGTTATGAAATTTGTGTGTATCTGGGACCATTCATGGCCATCTGCACTGCTGACGGAAGGCAGAGAGGTTCCTGGCTAGGTGTGAGACCTTTGGAGGCTGAAGCAGACCGAAACAGCCGCCAAAAGCAAGGCAGCAATTTGGGTTTTTGAAGGTAAAGGAGTCCCTGCAGATTTTACTCCGCTTAGCCAGTGGCTAATGGGGGCAGCGCTCATCCCCATTTCTAAGGCTGTGACCCAGCACTGCCCGAAGACAAGCCTGCGGTCATGTGGCCAGCATGGAGTGCTCTTACCTTTCCACCAAGGCAGTACCTATTTATCTACTTGCAATTTGGGTACTCCTCTCCACTATTAATTCTGCAAGCAGGAGCCATAAAAGAAAGGAGGAATTACTAAGAGTGTGGGAGGGTCTCCTTTTGGGGCAAATTATCTGGCAAGTTAGAATGTGCACTTTATTCCCTATACCGGTCCTGCATCCTAAGAATGGGGAGGAGAAGCCAAGATTCTTACCACCTGAAGACTGACCATTTCGCTTTTACCAGAGGAGGACGGCCAATTAGTTGGGGCTTCTGTGGTACTTTGATGTCAAGGTGGATTGCAAGATTGTCACAGCAACAATGCAACTGAAGTTAATCACAGAGCACTGGAACCAAAGAAACAATTCAGTGGTGACTAAATGCAAGTTGGAGCTATCAAACAAACCATCGTAATTCTGAGGTTGGAATTTCAAAATGGAATCTCAGACAGGCCAAAGATCTATCCCTACAAAGTAACTGTTTGACTTGCTTTTACAGACCTCAGAATAACTTGTAGCAGTGTTCTGATTTATAATTATTAAGAAAATATTGGTCTATACCTGTCCCTTCTTGTTCCAAACAAGACTCGACTGTGCTTGCCTTGTGGAAGGAACTGGGTCATCACAGATGGGTTTCTCAAAAATCACAGGCAGCAGCAAAACTGAGGTCTGCTAGTTTTATTGTATCTTACATGCTGCAAATTCATAGTTCTTTAATAATGCCTTTATAGAAGCTGAGGCTCTTGGCTTTGGTCCGTCCCATGGAACTTCTGTGATGTCTCTCCTCAAACACGATGTCTATAAAGGAGGTCAGTGCTCCTCTGCTTTCTCCCACCACTGCCGTAGGTTCTGCTTCTCTTGCTTTTAGTAATGTAATTCGTCTTGGCCGGAGCACAGGTGTACCTTTGACTCCACTGGGCAGCTGCATACCAGCAATTCAGGCTAAGCTGAGCTACAAGCGATCTGTGTCTACCTTTCGGTCCATCCCTGGGCTGGCAACCTCTTGTGAACCTCTTCCCAATGCTTTCTGCTCCAGTCTTTGGTCAAGAGGAAGTTGTTCCCAGACGCATTATCTTGATTAGCATGTTAATGCTGTTGTTCTTAATAGCATCCCGGCAACCAGCGATCACCTGCATCTTAGGTTTACCAACTGAAGGGGAAAAAAAGTGAAGAGTGCTCTACTCCATGCACTTTATTTACGCTATATAAAGCAATTCCCTTTTGAACCTTCATACTGCAATCCTATAGCTGCACACCTGGAAAGAAACCCCACAGGGCTTGCTTTTGATGAGACACAAACAGGATTGCACCATAAGGAGGAAATGGTTGGATTTACAGCTTTGTTTTTTCTTTAAAATGGTGGTATCTTAAACTCTGCCTGGGAGCCCGAAATGGCTCCCTTTAACACCTGAAGATTGCATTTCAGCTCTCAAGTGACATGACCACCAGGAATGCCTTGTAACATATTTTTAAGAAATGTGTTTAAGAGCAAGTTAAAACCAGAGTGATTAGTAAAGAGGCTAAACTACCTTCTCTGCGCAAGGCACAGTTGCTACAGGAAGAAAATGAGAGTACATTTCCCTGAGTCACAGTTTGTAAAGCTGGTCTGTACTGTCAGTGCTGTATGTGAATTGATAGACTTCCCCAGTAAAGATTTTGTTGGAGTGACCCTTTTTATAAAACAGTTCCGCCCTTTGGAAAATGGAAGGACACGCCATTTGTTTTGCCTGGCTCTTCGACACGCAGTTCTGCTCTCCCAGTTTGCCCAGGTAAGGGACTGGGCTGGGTGTATTGCACTGAGGAAGGAGAAAATTTTCCCCACTGGTCTATCGGAGGTCGAAGTGATCCTTCCCCACCCAAGGCCAGAAGGGACAGATCACACACTGTCCCAACACATATGACCTGGCAAAACCACTGCATCAAGCAGGACCATTGCTCTTCTCCTGGCAAGTGTGTTCATTCTAGGAGAAGGCTGTCCTTTAGGAGGAAACGACATGCCTTTCCATGAAAACATCTCTTCTAATAATTTCAGAAGAGTGGAAAGGAACTGTGAGGATTTCCCTGCTATTACCCATGCAGAAGTAATGCTCACTGATCGCCCAAGAAGGAAGGAAATGCTATTGTATTCTGCTTTCAACTGATCTAGAACAGTGCTCTCCCCTCCAACCCCAGCAAACTCTCAGATACTAGAAACTGCCATCACAACCCTCCTTAACCTCACCTAATTTCTGAACAATTCAGGAACCAAATGTGTCCTGGAAGAACACTGGAAACTATGTCTGGGCTCAAATGTACACACCTTGAGGAAAGAAAATGTGGCACCAGAATCAGGAAGCAGTTCTGGCACTTGGCCCTTTTCTGAATAAACATTAAGAGCATCTGATTTCACGGGCTCCTCAATGTGAAGTGCGTGCCTGCTGCCTCGCCAAACTAAGATGAAGAGCAGCCCTTGTCTTGTTTTATCCTTCCAGCAAGCAGGGAATACATCCTGAGTGACTGGCTCCACCCCACCTCCCCTTCTCCACACATACCCCGCAGATGTCCCGCTCTTTGGATGGCTTGATTTACTGCCTTGAGGTTACTTAGAAGCTCAGTGTGATTAGTGCAGCGAATCTTGTACTGGGAAAGCAAATCCCTGTTTAGATCGTACAGTTCAGCATATCGCTTCTTCGTATTTTTCCTGCAAGAATAAACACAAAGCAGTTTTCACCCATATTGGTCTGTGACCAATATGATAAAAGATCCAAGTGCTGTACTTGTCGCTGCTCAAGTCAAGAGGGTCGAACAGCTTCTGCTGAGCTGGGAATTTGAAGACATGAAAGTTTTGGCAGCTTTCCAGGCCCCGAGTCTTCCCATTCCCATTTACCTGCCTCCACTTCGGGCTTTGTAATGGAATTACAATGCTCTCAACAGTCTTCTGTATGCCCTCTTCAAAAACCACACAGGGGCAGATACCTTGTGCAAAGGGACAAGTGAGGGAGAAGCTGAACAAGCAACTTGGCTTACATTCCACAAGGACATTATTTTTGTGATTCCCCAAGCCCTGGCATTCCTGAGAGGCGCAGGGAACAACCAGTGGCACTGTCAAATCCGGAGTCCACAGTTTTGCATATACACATCAAGCGGAATGCCTTTTCCATCTAGTTCTGCCAGCCTGGCTTCATAAACAAGAACCTGGATTCCTGTGCAATCCTTTGGTGGGATTCATTGAAGACCTTGGAAAATCTGTGGAAAATTACTTGCTTTGCAGACACACTGGCAATGCACACGTGGTTCCGTGGGTGACTCCAAGAGCATCCGCGGTGGGTATCATGCCTGTTTCACTCCGGAGAGAAGCACTGCGGGATGCTCTGGAGGGAACTCCCCCTCCCAACTCTGGAGGACCCTTTCAGCATTCAAAGTCTTTGTGGGCCACCAGGGGCACATTAGCTTTTTTCTAATAGGGTGACAGGTAGCTAGAGTCCAAGGACACCGAATCCTAATGCATTTTGACTGGCCCTTTAGGATCACCCTCGAGGCAGCCATCCAAACCTGGGTCTCGCCAGGTCCACCTTTCTTCGAATGACATCATTCCAGCACTTTCAACGTGGCGCCTTCAGACAGAATGCTCGCACAGGAATTGGGGGAAAGGGATGTGAAAGGCAAGTTGGAGATCACCCCTGCCCTGCATGGCTCACCCCCTCTGGAAAGAAAAGGCACGTGCAGAAATAACATAGGATTCAGGGATATTTTCGAGACTTCACTGGAGCAGCTTCTGGGATGATCAGGGTCCTCCTGTCCCAGGGAGGGTGGTGGCAGTGACCTCCGGGTGGCAGCTGCTGCTGCAGCATTCCACCAGAGCCACCTCCTTATCCAAACTCACAGCCTCTCCATAGGTCAGAGTGCAAACCCACCAAATGAATGCTGCATGTCATGCCAAAACAGCCAAACAAACTGTAACCACTTAGTCTATTCATCGGGATTGGGAACACGGCACACTCCTGAGCTGGCCACACCTTGAACCAATAAAAGGTAATGAGTAAAGTAAATAAAAGGTAAAGCTATGAAAACAGATTGAAAAAAGGGCGTGAAGGAGCCCCTTTAAAATAGGCATGCGGAAACGATGATGCAGCAAGCAAAGCTCGCCAGTACTGTAAGGTATTTTCTTCACTGCCCTAGTTTTTGTAATGTGGGGCAGGCAGGGAGAGAAGAATTCAACCTCTGCAGGACAGGCGAGGAAGCATGGGAAACCCCGTGCAAATGGCAGTCGCGGAAACCCAACCGGGGCACAGCGGTCGGCGTGCTGGACTGGGACTTGGGAGATGTGCACACTGGTCCCCATGTGGCCATGAAGCTCACTTACTGCACCTGACCCGCCTTGCAGGGTAGCTGTCAGGGTGAAATGGAGAGGATTGTGGACGATCCCCCAACATGGGCACCTGTGAAGGGTTCCCTATGTAGTAGCTGTGACTGTCTGCAGTTATTTAATTTTTTCCACATTTTAATGGATGTGGATGTGGATGGGTATCTCTGTATCCATGAATACCAAGGAAATGAATGGAGTTTTCTAGCACTTATACACAGACTTCAGCAAAAGTGGGCTAATATGCAAACAGGCACTCATTTGAAGATGATGTCTATACGCCACCCCTCCCCTACCAAAACCACCGTAAGATTTCAGTTCATTACATTATAGGGGCTGAGTGTTTGTCCTGCCAATGTTCTAGCATCACATGCAAAGCTGACAAAACAGCGCAGAATCCATTTACACGGACCATGTGTCACTTCTGTGCAGAACCAAAAGTACAAGTGTTTGTCAGGGAATGTTATAGTTGCGGTACAAAATGTGTGTAATAACCTTTTCCACAAACGAAGCAGCTACTGGACATTGGCAAGCTGCTGTTTAAAAGAAGGACTAGACACAAAATAAATGCTTCTGCTTAATAAGATGCAGGCCATGATCCATAAATGGGGGAGGAAGGCAACAAAGCTGCCAATCCACTGATGAGATGCTTTGCTTGCAGCAGTTTCTTCAATTCCCAGATGAGTCCGTGGCTCCAGACAGAGTGTGCAGTGCCTTAGAGCTAAAGGTTAGTATAGGGTTGTGTCCAATAAACTGGCTGGGGGTTTGGCCAGCCATAGGGCATTCTGGACCCACACTTCCAGTTCATTGGGTGTAGCTCAAACAATGGCAGGAGAGAACATGTGTACATGAAGAGCAACGCAAAGTCAACTCACATGTCCCCCATGAGGCGTGAATCCTCTGCTCGAACCAACATGCTGCGGATGAGATTGGAGTTGTCAGCCATGTTGGCTGTGAGCTTCTGACAGACCGCGTGGGAGCTGTCGACCTGCGTGGAAGAACCGCCACACGTCAGGGCCCCCGCGCAGCAAGGCTTGGAGGCCAGGGTAGAGGTTGGGTGTTGTCAGCCCGCAGGCAGGCACGATGTCAGGGCTCCCAGCAATAGCCACTCTGCTCAGAGTACGGTCTCATCTCACAAGCCTGTGGGCTAACTCTCCCAAGAGACTCCATTGGGCTGCCTGGCTTTGTCCTGTCAACCCGCTGTTGCCACCCCAGCTCCAGGGAGAGGCATCTGCATGGCCCCATTTAACAGAGTGCCTCCTGCCTGTACTTCCTCAGAGCCTGAGGTCATCTCTGGAGGCCCTCTTCCAAGTGGCCCTGTTGTTAAGGAAGCTAAATGGTTGGTTACATGAGAGAAGGCCCTCTTGGTGGCGCCCATTATGGAATAAACACCATAAAAATGTTCAACTGGCACCTACATTGCTCTCTTTTTAACCCTAGGCAAAAATATATTCTCCAATATATTTCAGAGACTCAGTTCTACGGTTTATGGCCATCCCTATACTATTTGGGGCTCGGCATTGTATTTTATTCTTTAAAATATTTGTATTTTTCCAATGTTTCTATGGCATTTCAGTCCTTTAACTATTTGTAATCTTCCCAGAGAACATTGGTTATTGGGCAGACTACACATGGAATGAATTAATCGTGCAACCTGAGTTTGAAGCTGAAGCTATAAAAACCCTGTCTTCCTGATGCAAGTTGGTAGAAACTCCTTCAACAGAAGGGACGGATCAGAATAGCTTGGCTACTAGGACAGAAGTAGGACAGGAGAATCTGCTCTCTTTTGAAGAAGAAATCATTAGAATATTGCACTGTTTTGGGAAGAGTCCTTACTTCAAGCAAATCTCCATGCTATGTAACACAATGCTGTGGGCATCCTATGAGGGCTGATGAAACCAAGAATTGATTCAGCTCCTCTCTGTTCCCACTTGCCCCAGTACCTCTCACTCTCAGCCGTATTTGAAATGTGTGTTTCTCACTTACCGCAATCAGGGCCTTGCGCACCTCCTCAAAGTATGCCGGAAAATCTGCTTCCACCTGCAGGTCTTCAATAGCCCAAAAGGAGGCCATTGACTGGATAATATCACCAGCCAGATCAATGTTGTCTGTATTAATCGAGATCTAACAGACCAGAAAAAGAAAGACACACTCGTTCGTTACATCGTCTCAAGCAAACTCGTCACATCATCTGCCAACGGGGCCCAGTTAATAGTTTAATCTGATGCTTCAGCTTAATAGCTACTGTAGTTGTAGTGCTGTAGTTAACTACTACAGTAACTGCTGTGGCCTTGAATGTCTATCAGCTAAGGAAGAACAGTTACAGGAAGCTTGATTCTTCCCTAGCAACAAGAACGCTCAATTTAACCTGCCGGATAACCAAGGACTGGCCCCTTCTCTTGACCACAACCTTACCATCACTGGATGTGCATGCTGCCTTGAAGATCATTCAACCCAAAAGACAGAATATCAATCTTCTAAAAATAATGAATATAACAAAGAAACAAGGGACCCACAACAGAATATTGGCTTTGGTTGAAACCAATCTGGACTCCTAGTTTCTGGCTCTGTTTTCTTTAAAAATCAGCTTAAGAGGACAGGTGCCAAAGCTGCCAAGTAGATGGAGAGGCAGCAGAAAACCAGTGCTTGGCAAGTGTGAATCTCCCAAGTTCTAGTTTTGTTTGTGTATCTATCTGGGAATCTCCCTTCATACTTCTAGTAATGCACACAGGAATTACTTGCAAGATTTTGTGGGCTTGTACAGGAGTCCATATAAGGAATTAACTGCAATGTTTTTACTAGCCCAAGCATACCCACAGGAATGGTTTGTGATGCATCAACCATACCCCTCCCACGAAGGAAAGCATTTTCTCATTAAACGCCTTCATGGCTGGCCACCTCAGTGAGGTTCTGATTCACCTCTGCAGGCTAACCTTACCTCCCCACTGGGCTGCATTTTGATGCACAACTGCCCTGCATCCCGCAAGGAGGTGAAGCAAACTTCAAATGACTCGCTTTGCATCTTCATGTCCTCTGGTAACAGGAAATTTTGTTTTAGCCACAGGATGACCTTGGAACACAGATTCACCATGTGAGCCACTAGGAAGAAAGTGCAGCATTCATACAAGCAGTTTCTCCCTCCCCGGTGGCCGTGAAGTAATACAGGAAAGGACCGTGCTGGTCCCTGGCCAAGGCATGACCAGCAAGTGCTTTGGTCTGGGTTAGGGCTTCCCATGAGCGCCAAGCCCACTATTAACCACTGGGAATGCATGCTGTATTCTGCCCCCCTGCAGCACTGATGGCCTGACCTCCTCCTCCGGCTGCAGGGGGTGGGGGCTTCACTCCTAGTTAGGGCCTTTGGGAACGGGGGGCTGACAGGAGAAGAGAAGCAGCAAAAGGAAGCATGTTGCTGACAGCAGCAGTCTCTTCCTTCATCTTCCGCTGCCATGCTGAATGCTCACTATCAGGTCCCCTTACCCTTGTACTCTAAACCGCCCTCCAAAGGCTTTGTTAAAGAACCAATTAAAATCTGTAACTTAAGACCTTACACACAAGGATCGCCTGTCACAGAAAATCAGCCTTAACTACAACACAACCAAGGTGAGAAAAACAAGCCAGAGACTTACAGTTTGTACCCTTTCGCTGATTGTGCATCGGACAAAACTTAGAGGCCCAGGAGCAGAGTCTGGACTGCTCAGGATATACATGGAGAAGCGAGGGAGCTGCCTGGACAGCTCAAAGACGTGGAATTGCATGCTGGAAAAACAACCAAGAGGCCTTTTATCATTTGCCTTCTGGCATTCAAATGCATTTCACAATTCAAGGTCCCTGGAACAACATTCCCTAAAGCCCCAGTTCTGACATTCATAGGCATCACACACTGAGCACAAGTGATCTGGAAATGAAAACACTGGCCAGCTCAGATTTATCGTTCTTCCATTCAAAACTGAATATTCATTTCCATATTAATATCCACCCTAGTCTATCCGGCCACGCACCACTCAACAGTTTAGTATATAGAAGTAAATTAACAACATTGATTGGGTATCATCTCAAGTAATTTTTTAATAGTACATGTTGCTAAGGTCTCTGATACTCCGCAAGCTAAGTTTTTATTTACAAAGGAAGCAAGCTTCTAGACGTCATGGGCACACACCTGGTTTCCGTCACTCAACAACCTACTTTTGTTTTTGTTTTCCAAATCCCGGGCTGCTGCAAATGAAGTAGGAATGAGTATTCTGTTCCTGGGGCCCGACTGCTCCCACTGCAGCCAGGTGAGGCAAGACAGCCCACAGGTGACACAATCAGCAACCCAGGGATGGGACATGAGAACCAGATATTCCGGGCTGCTGAGGGAAGAGGCTAGCCAAAGCTGTGACCAGTGAATTAACTGCCCTGCTGCAGTGGGGGCAATCAGAGGCAAGCCGCTGCACACGCTTCTGTTGCTCCACTTACGGCAGTGCAGGGTTCGAAAAAAGGTGGGTGGTTGTGATGTGTGAAGCAAGCCACAAGTCAGTTTTAAGGGCGGATGGGTGGCCGGGTGTGTTTGAGGCTGCATATTCGAGGTTCTGAGGCAAGCAGTGTTCATTTGTCACAGCAGCTTACTCAGCACCCTGCCTGGGAGCCGATGCCAAGTCCTGCAGCCCATTTTACTGCCTACCAACATCCTGCGTCCAATTTCTCCCTCTACTGCCAGGATCCCTTTAGGCAGAGCTTAAGTTCATTGGCTTCAGATTCAAAGATGCCAAGAGGCGGGTATCATGGGCCAACCATGTGCAAGCAGAGCTCCCGGCAGACAACAGAACGGCCCCCGTGGGTGTGATCCCTGGACTTCCTGCCCGCTTTCCTGCCACCAGCTGCCCATGGGAGACCCACAAGCTGGACAGGAGAGCAGCAGCCTCTCCCACCCATGTTCCCCAGCAACTGGCTTACATAGGCACACTGTCCCTGATACGAGAAGCAGCACAAAGCCATCAACAGCCACTGATAACCTCCTCCTCCACATTTTGTTTTCCAGCCCCCTTCAAAAGCCATCCAAATTGGGGGTCATGACTCCATCTTGTGGTAGCAAATCCCAGTTTAATTCCTTGCTGTGGGGAGAGACTTCTTTTATCCCTCCTGAACAAAGCGGTGACCCCACTGGATTCTAATACCACAAGAGAGGCAGAAAAATGCCTTCTGATGCCAATCGCTGCATGCTTAATTCTGTGCACTGTCATGTCTCCCCCAACCCAATCCCTGCTGCTATAACTCATAGAGGAGTTGCTCCCCCACTGTCATCCATGCAGTTGCCTTTCTCTGCCAGTTCTTCAATTCAACAATGTCCTTTTTCAGGTGCAGCAACCAGAACTGTACACGGTATTCCAAATACGGTTGCACCACAACATTGTACGCAGGAAGTATACTCCTGGCAGTTTGATTTCCAATTTGTTTCCAAATTATGCCTAGCACCGAGTTTAGGCATAACTACGAGTTTAGGCAGCTGCTGTGAAAACTTTTTCACAGCAGCTGCACACATTGACATCTTCACTGTGCTGTCCATCCAGAAGCCGAGATGCTAGCTCGGATTCCATCAGCTTATATCTAAAGTTGGGAATTTTGGCCCCAACATGCATCCATCATACAAAGCCGAAAGCATGATGGTAGTGGGGTCGCTTGCCTGCTCACTCTTACACCAATGAAAGCCAAGACATGACATAGAAACATAGAAACAGAGAGTCAGAAGGGGCCTCCCGGGCCATCTAGCCTGACCCCCGGCTCCAGCCGACTCCGCTCACAACATGCCCATCATGTGCACGTCCAGCCTGTCTTTGAACACCCGCACCGATGGGGCCTCAGCAACCTCTCGTGGAAGCCCATCCCACACCCTCGGGGTCCTGACTGTCAGGAAGTGCTTCCTGGCATCAAAATGGAACCTTGACATTTCTGTACAAGCACCAAATATACTGTAGGTCTGGGATCTCTAATTACATTTATTTAAAATAGCTCTATTCCCTTTAAAGTATCAAAAACTGCTGAAATAATGTGCATTTGTAGACTCCTATGACTGGACAAAGGCTTGAGAGATCACTGAGAAGAAAAGATCCATCTGTGCCACCCTCACCCAAAGTCAACCACATCGTTCAGATGGCACACCTGTTGCCCAGGTGTGAATGAGGTGCTCAAGCCAAACACGGTGCTCTGAGTCTGCATGACGCTTACCTATTCCTGTAGCCCACAAAGGCCTTGATGTTCAGCTCCACTGGAATGTCTTTGGGAGGATGGAGAGGAACTTTAATGTGGCTTGAGAGGTGCTGAAGACTCGGGTGGATCACATGACTCTCACCTTCAAATATTCCTTCAGCAAAGATCAGCACTGCTCGGATGATGGTGTCTAGAGGGAGGGGAGGGGAGGGGAGGGGAGGCCATGCCAGTCAACAGCCATTCCTTGGCATGGTTTCAAAAGCAAGCAGGAGGGGAGGTGCAGACTTGATGCACAACAGCCTGCAGGCCATGCTGTGCCAAGTGTTGATGTAAAGGCTTCGCAGAGATTCAGCTACGAAGGACTGAAATACAGGAACAGCCACCTGGGGTCTAGTCCTCAAAGAGCTTCACAGGAAAGCAAAGCGAAGCAAACGAGAGCAGAATCAGTGGCTGCCTTTAAATGTACTAGGAGACCACACAGATTCTTTCCTGAAATGGACAGTGCCTGCCCAGATGCTGGGTGCCCCCAAAACAGGCTGTTCCCTTGTCATGGAGAAGCCCAGTGTGATAACGCTGCCGAACCCGTGGCCTTCTACTGGAGCCTGAGGGACAGCAGGGGTTGCCATCCATCACATCTGGAAGGTGCCAGCTTGGGAAAAAATCCAATGCAAAGTGGAGCAAAAGGGTTAAACAGCGAGCATCCTTTAGTCCAGACAACACAGATAGTATACATACACCAAGCCTGGCCAGAAGTGTACACTGTTTACTGTGACCACAGTATCCAGTAGTAAGAACAGAGCACAAGGAAATCGCCCCAGCTGAAAGAGAACGTGAGCATCACAGCTGGAGCATTCTCAGGCCTAGAAATGGGACAGGCTGCTGAACACATTCCAGCAGGATTTTGCTGTCAAACCTCTCACCGTTGGACGTGGAAATGCGTAACTCTACGTGAGCAGATTCACTATCGGAGCCCAGGTTGACCGAGAGGGCTGTCTGGAGCTGGGTATTGGCTGGAATGACTCCCTTTTGCCCATCTGCTTCATTCACTTGCGTGTTCAGTTCCACTTGCTGTAAAACACAATTCCGACGCGTCACCGCAAAGGCTAAATTATTTGCGACAGAAATGTGTACAGCCATCCCAACTGGCTGCCGTCACCAGAAATGTTTCCTGTAGCAGTGAATTTCACAGTTTAACTATCCTGCCATGGGATCTGGCAAAAGGTCCTGTGAAATTTCTGGAAAGGACAAGAAACCAATTTCTTCTAGAGGATGGCAGGAAAATTTCTGTAATAAGCATAATTCTGTTCTTTGTTACTTTTTTTGTAAAGTAATGCTGAAGTGGTTTATTCTTTGACAACTGCTGACCATGTGCTTGCTTTTTCCTACTAAAATGCCAACCAACGTTTTAACCTTGTATAATCCTGGCTAACCATTGTGCTTGGGCGATCTAGCCTCACCCCTGATCAGCTAAGTTTGCTGGGTGGTCCTGCATAATGTCATGTTGCTCAGCTTCAGTTACTTTTCTACAAAATAGGAATGATTGAAAAAGGGAAAGTCTATGCTGGCCATACGAAAAATTCAAAAATCCACTTCTTGAAGATTTATTTATTAAATTTATATTCTGCTAAATTGGCCTGAGGGCACTTTAAGCAGATTACAGTCAAATGTTAGCATGATGCCCTTCTTATGCTATGCTGTGCTATGCTAGTTGCAAAGTCACATCTGACCCATCACAACCCCACTGACACCATTCCTCCAGGCCTTCCTGTCCTCCACCATCCCCCGAAGTCCACCTAAGCTCACATCCACTGCCCCAGTGACCCCATCCAGCCACCTCATTCTCTGCCGTCCCCTTCTTCTTTTGCCATCTGTTGTTCCCAGCATTAGGCTCTTCTCCAGGGAGTTCTCATTAGGTGGCCAAAGTATTTGAGTTTCTTCTTCAGGATCTGGCCTTCTAAAGAGCAGTCAGGGTTGATCTCCTCCAGGACTGACCGGTTTGATCGCCTTGCGGTCCAAGGGACTCGCAGGAGTCTCCTCCAGCACCACAACTCAAAGGCCTCAATCCTTTGGCGCTCAGCCTTCCTTATGGTCCAGCTTTCACAGCCATACATTGCAACTGGGAAAACCATCGCCTTGACTATATGCACTTTTGTCGGCAGGGTGATGCCTCTGCTTTTTAGTATGCTGTCTAGATTTGCCCTAGCTCTCCTCCCCAGGAGCAAGCATCTTTGAATTTCTTGGCTGCAGTCCCCTTCTTAGGCCAACCTAAATGACACAAATCAGTGCAAACTTTCAATGTGCCAGAACGCTTCATCATGGAAGATGGTAAACAAAGCAGAGAAGGGTTTGGTCACATTTAGACATTTGGTCACAGTCTTAAGACAGAATGCGAAAGGAAGGAGCAGACTTTCAAGCTAGGTTTTCTTAGGTGCTATGAGAGTTTCAGGTTGCATCTATCACAATCCCTAGTACACCTTGCGATGAATGACTCTCTGCTAGGACTCTTCCTGGTACCACGGAAAAGACTTTGTACAGCCATTCTACCTTTTTCTCCTCAATGTGTGTGGGGGGGGGGGGGGGGGGGGAGAAGAGGGACGAACTGATGGGAAAACACAGGAGGATTAGCAATCGTAGGCAATGCCCTCTGACCCCTCATAAAATTCTGGGAATGAGGTAAGGCAATGGTGGGATAAAAGTCTTGTCTGGGAGACTCACACAAAAACCCCGTGTCTGAAAATGCAAGATGCAGCTGTTACCCTGTTCTGTCTCCAACCTAAGTTAACCAGCTGGTTTATCAGAGGGAAACCAGACAGTTTTCATATTAACATATAAAATTACATTTTAAATAGCAGAGACAGGTGCTTATTTAAGACTTAAACGGATTACTGATCAGCTCTCTGCTGAAGTCCAACTGCTTGTGCCAGTTATTCGTGTTTTGCTATGGCCTAAGATCAGAACTGGATCCTAGCCCTACTCACATAAATACCTTCGAGTTTTCTTCATAGTTGCGTAACTCAAGCAGCAGATTTTGTTTCTTTTGACTAAGTTCTCGAATGAGGGCCTGCTCCACACTTACATCCATCAGTTTCCCCTTCTCTTGGCTTCCTGGCAGGTAACCCCGTACTGCACAGAAGGAAAGTAAAAACATTTAATGAACTGGTACAGAGCAGGCTGTTGGGGGAAAGGTGCCGCTGCTTGAGAACAGCTCGCGAGAAGAAAAGACTAAACCAAATCTTAAGTTAAAGCAGGCTTCATGAACTTTTCTAATGCAAACCAGAACTGAGTAACGCTCCAGTCCTTCAAAAGGCACTGCCATCTCGTAAGACTGGCAAGGGAGACTAGAGGCTTGTAAGATCCAAGACAAAACAGTGGGTCAGGCAGAATTAGGAGCCAGGATGCCCCTGAGTGTATACTGAGCACCTAGGAGTTTGTGGCCTGTAGCAGAACCAACCTCGCAAATCTTTTCACACAAAAATCCATTTTTGGCCTTCTCCAAAATATTATTTCCCAGTCACGTGCTTTTTAGCTGCTGCTAATGGTAAACAACGAAGGAAGCCGGTCCGCTTGCCACTCTGCTGCCAGTCCTCTAGCGAACTGCAGTCTAGCTGCTCCTGCTCTACACTCAGGGATGTACGAGGAATTCATTTTTGCTTGCAAAACAGGCAAGCCGGCCCTGTTTGAAGTCCTGAATACGAATGAGCACAGGTGTCTGCCAAGCATTTGCAAACGTCCAGACATGTAAGTCCTGTTTGATATATGAATAATTTCTCAGCTAAATTAAGAACAAATTTGCCTTGCGGGCTGGCCCAGTTGCACTTTGGTGTACCGAGGAAATGTGCAGAAATCTGGGGAAGTTTACACAAATTGCACTTTTGGTTTGATTTGCGTAAACAAAAAACCCACATACATACATAAAAATGTTTTAATAAATAAATAAATAAAATACATACATGTATCGTGAGGTTGGTTGATAACAGGAGCACATGCAATTTTAATCAATGGCTAAAACACCATGGTGCAACTGTTAAGCTTAGCTGTCTCTGACTCGATAATGCACTTGGCAATGCGCTGCAATGTGCGCCCAGCCAAAGCCACTGGGATGGATCCATACTAAACTAGCTGAACTTAGGCCTCACTGCAATCCATGACAAGTTAGCTCCAAAGGTCCCAGTGGTTTCAGTCAGACCTGAAATACAGTGTGGATGCCCCCAACCCACGCTCTTGCTTTCTCACCATGCTGCCATGTTGTGCACATCGCTATAGCGCACAATCTGATGTGCTGCACCACGTAGGGGCCCAGGAAGCAGTGAGGACCGCTTTGCTTGGAATGGCTACATTTTGCAAAAAGGGAATTGTGTTGTGTTGCGTTCCGTTTTCTCAATCGGGCTGCTCATAGAAGACCAGGGCGCTTCTGGCTCCATTCAAACACACAAGTTTCCATCCATTTCAAACATTAAAAAGCCCTGAATCCGAAGCAGTACTTGACAACTATACCTTCACCATCAACGGAGCAGCAGATGAGCTGGGTATTGCCATCCATCCGATAGTCTCCCTGCACAATTCCTGCAACCGAGGAAGCAAAATTATCCTTGAAGATAACTTCTCCAGTTCGGTCACTGCGTGCATCGATCTAGGACAGAAATATTTGGACGGCATTAAGAAGAGGAGAAAAGGGGAATTCACTGTGAAAACATGTCTACTCATGTAAATGGAGACAGGATTGTGAGCTAAATCCCTCAATGAGAAATCTGCAGGACCATAAACATGCTGCAGGACGCAGCCCCCAGCAACCCCGAGTAAGATCCCAAGTTTTGCTTTTTAAAACTTAATCTTTATCCTCAGAGAAACACATTTTTCAAAAGAGGGACATGTCTGTTCACAACTTCATTCCTGGCCAGGGGTCCTCTTCCTTTTGTGTATACATTCCAACAACCTTCCCTCGCTGGTTCAAAGCAAGACACCCAACAGAAAATGTCCAAATGAATACACCTATGGAAATGTGGCTATGCATCATTTATTCCCACAGTAACACTCCTCTCCAGCAGCAGAATTCTAAACTATGTCAGAATGCCTTGGAATAGTCCCCAGATAAGGCCTAGGGGCATCTAGCTGAAAGGCAGGAAGCACAGCAATTACAAATGGAGAAAGGCAGGTTGCTTTAATGCCACTTCTCGCTCAAGCTTACCTTCCCGCTGGACCAGCCAGTGATCAGCTCACAGACTCCATCAGAGTTGATATCAAAGGCATGGATGCTCATTGCCTGGTTCTTAGACTGGGGAGGACAATACATCAGTGAGCGTCAGGTCATTTCCTAGGACTCCCCTGTACCTTCTCACACACTCACTGGTGAAACGGCAGCTAGGGCTGCATGGGCACTGAGGGGGGAAACTGCAAACTTGCTAATTCAACCAAGAAAAGCTGTTTTTCTATTTATTTTTAAAAATGCAATCACTGCTTTCTCTTCATCTTTTGTCTACAGTGTTTTAGGTTGCATTTATTATGCAAAGCACTTACTGAAACCAGGTCTGATTCTATAGCCTACTTATAATTCAGTGCATTGCTTTAAAATATTTTACACTGCAGGTGCAATGAAAGGCGAAGTGATTATTTTTCAACATTCAGATTTTGCTGTAGTTGATATTTCAGTCCATACTTCAGACTGTTAATGTAACCTGGACTTTCAAGTTTCAAGAGAGCCCAGATATGAGCCGTTGTCAAATGTATAAATGCAATAAATAAATAAACAAGCAAGCACACCCTCACCTCTCCCAGGGCCTCATTAATGGGCCTAGCCAAGCACCTCCCCTTGAAAGATGGGAACAATGCTAACGGCCCCAAGGGTTGCTGCACGACAACGGAAGTTATACAGGGATGCTGCGCTATAACGCGAAGGATTGCCATCACGCGTCTTTCCTGAATACCCAGAATGCCCGGCACATCTCACCTCGACTGAGTAGCCTTCTCAAGTTGCATGGCAACATTTTACACCGTTGTGTTGAAAAGCAAGACGGCCATTACAGAGAACACTCATTTTGGGCATTGTATTTCTTAAAACATGTAGCAGTGGCAGCCAAAGGGTGAGGGGGCCCTCTGGACAGATACCCTGGGCAGCAGAGCCGTGATGCTTAAAACTTTACACACCCTGCTCCTCAGTTCCAGCAAAAAGCGCCTCTGCCAAGCTGCTCTTTGCACAGGGAGGAAAGTTTCCTGTCTTCCTCCCCAGACAAACAGTGGTTTCAGAAGGATGATTTTTGTCAAGACTCTGGCATGGGAGGAAATGCTGAAAAAAAAAACCTCGACCTGTGCTGTAGTAACGGCCCATGATCTCCACTCACTACCAGCCCATGGCTTGATTTAAACTAAACTTTTTAAAAGGATGAAGCCAAGCCAAAAGGAAATGTTAATGTCCTATGTGATAATTTGGCCCTGAAATGGTCATCCCATGATATCCAGCACGTTGGGCTCTTTTCAAGTGTGCAGACACCTCTGTAAGGTCAAAGTATCCCCCACAAAAATGATACAGCTGGGATAGCGCAGGGCCAGGTCTACCATAAACAGATGCTGCTCTCTTAGTCTCACAAACAAACTCCCAAAGCACAGTCTGAAGGTACATGAAGCAGCAGCTCCCTGAAGCCGAGCAGATCTGGCTGTGGCCACTGCCAGGACTGGGGACCACCTCTGTCCCCTGGAAGGATGGATGCAAATTCAGCAGGTGCTGAGGAAGTGTGAGCCAGGGGTTTGACGCTGTGGCCTCGCCACACACTGGCAGTGCAGCCGGGTTGGTTGTAGGCAAGTTTTGGGAAGAGGCAGCAAGCCCAGGAGCAGCAGTGAGCACATCTCAGCTCCAGAGCACTGAGCTGCATGCAGAAGGTCCCAGCTTCAACTCATCGTATCTTGAAGACGCCTTGCAGCAAGGCGAGCGCCAGGTGTGAAGTGGAATGACCCATCTTTATTTTTATGCTAACGGAGTAGTTGGGATAAGAACCCCTGCTATGCTTGCATCTAGGGGTGTCTGCTGCAAGAGCTGCAGACACCCTGCATATGTCCATCATCTGCCCCATAATCCTCAATCCAGAACAGATTCGACTTCTGCCCCAGAGCCTGTTAGTTTTCCATTGCTGAATCAAATTCCTGTAATTGAATTAATGCCTTTAAAGTCAAGGTACAAACTGTTAGTGTGTGTCCGGTGGATAGTCTTTACCAAATTTAATTTCTCCCCTTCTGGTTTGCTGTTTCATCATACTAACTTTAATTCTCCAGTAACGGGCCGCCTGGTTGTAAATCCCTACGGTGCCGTTAGAAAGGGCATAGCCAAAGCGACTGCTGCCCATGGGCGTTAGAGCAGTGATGATCTGAAAAACAAAGAGAGAACGATTATCAAGTCCTGCTAGGACAGACAGTAATTAGTGACAGACTCCAAACAATTTCTACCACTTCAGTTGCCTTCAGCAAAGCTGGTGGTGTTCACATCGACCTGATGCAGTTCCCTTGGTAGAGGTGTCAAAAGCATCACCTGATTCAGCATGTTCTAAGGCCCAAGGATGTGGAAAAGGTGCTCAAGTAAGTAGCACTGGATTCCTCTATGCTTGACCTTCCTGGCTGACTAACAGGGAACAGATGTCTGGACAGCCCCAGGAGGAGGTAAACTGTCCCTTGAGAGAGTGGGAGGTGCTGTACTATTTAAAGAAGGCAATCATTAGGCTATTTCAGCAAAAGCTAATTTGAAGTCCTAGATGGTGTTAGCAACTAGAGATCAGTAGCCAATTTACTTCCCCTAAGCAAAGTGTTTGGACTGGTGGTTGCCAACCAATTCCAAGCAGTCTGAAATGAAACTGGACCCCATTTCAGCTGGGCTTTAGGCCTAGTTTTGAAGCTGAAGCAGCTCTGGTCACCCATGGCCAAGAGAGGTGTGGGAGATTCATGACCCTGTGCATTCGCTTGGATCGTGGATTTCTGAGTAGTTTAGACACAGAAGCAAAACAAGAGCTTTGCAACAAATGTTAGAGAACATGTAAGCAACTATGGGTAGGAAATGACAAGCACAAAAGAAATCTGTCAAGCTGAAAAGGCCTTACTGTGCAGTCACCACGCCTCATCACAGAATTTGTGGAGTGTCGAGGCACTGCCATTTGTAACCTTCCCACGTTTCCCCACTGCCTCGCCTATCTTTTTTCTTACTGTAGAAAGGAATGAAAGACAAAATAGCTGTGCAGTGCCTTTTGATGGGTACCACCCTCATTTGCTTCCTTCCCATTTTAAATCCCTAGGAGATAGCTACCATAGCTCAAGACACAGGCATCTAACTTGAACCCCAAAGGAAGGGGCAACCCACACGGGCTGGTTTTTGAAAGAAGAGGCAAATTGGGTGAAAGTCCGTTAATGGTGGCCCCTGGCCCAAATCCAGGCTCTGCTAGAATTGAGCTGCAAGGATTTCCCAGAAGGGAGGGAAAGGAAGACTGAGGTCTGGTTCTTTTTTCAGAGAGAACAAGACAATACTGAGCCTTTTCTAGAATCTCAGGTGCAATGCTATGTCTTGAGGATAAAAGCCCTTCAATCCAGCCCTTATCTTTCAATAAGAGCTTTAGATAGGGGATATGCAAAAGGTTGATGAGGGTCTACTGGTAGATTTCTGGGTGACTGAGTAGCTCATCAGAGACTGCCAACTGTTTAACAGTAGCAGCAACACCAAACAAATTCCTGCACTCAAAATTCCTTCATTCTGGGGAATGTGCCAGGCTCCAACAGGTGAATCACAGAGTTCTAGTAAAAAGAAAAAAACCCAGTCAATTCTGCAAGTCTGCCCACTCCTCCTTTAGGGGCAAGGATGATGTGTGAGAGCATCTCTGTCATTCCCAAAGAAAACATGAGGAGCAAGTATTTAAACCTGATGCTCAGATCAGGCAAGTTTCCCACCACACTCTCACCAGTGAAAATGATGGTGGAAATCCACACACACACA